ATGTTAATGGATGACCCTCTTCGAGGTGAACAACTTTTATTGCAACTTTTTTTTAATCCGATTTGTATTTTTCCAAATATTCTGAAAAACAGTTTTAAATGCCTCACCCTGTATTGTTTCTTGATCTCGACATCGCAAGAATCTGACGCCATTAGATTCGTCTTATATTTTCAATAATTACATATGTTACTATACTGCGTCGCAAACTTAACGACTTTATCTTAGTTATAGACCGATTTTGTCGCATTATGGAAGTTATACATATAACCAATGATGTTGTATGAAGTGCAATCTGCCTTTGACCTGCAATGTAAATTACGGGTTATCTTAAATGTGACGTAACATACGCAATAACATATTTCAAGATCGGGTCAAGGTGAACTAACCCGCTATGTAATCCAGACATCGTTTTAAATCAGCTCTTCCCACAGAGCGAAAAGATCACACTTTCTGCAGAAAGAGATCTGAATTTTTTTTACTTATTAAAAGAAATTGAAGACATTGCTGCAAGAACGAGGTAAGTCCACTTTTTGGCGAAAATGATGTTTTAACACCATTATATGCAACGTTCCAAGCCCGATCGATTGGTGTAAAAACGACGTACGTAAGTGCATTGTTAGTTAAATAAACTGAGATTTTTGGACTTGCCCCTCTAAGCAGATTGGTGCAAGAACGAGGCAAGTGCGGAAAAAAATTACCTAATTTAATAGTTTATTATTTATTTTTACTAATTTATCACTATAACTATCTAAAAGGTACTACTTTCAAATATTTTTGTTTATGTTCTGTTGCTAGGCATTTTTTCGATTTTTGGTGCTAGAACGTGGCAAGTCCAAATTAAAAGTGTTAAAATTTCATGCATTTTGAAAGTTTGTTATTATTTGAATAAGTATGCGCTAATGGATAGCTAAGAAGAATATAATGTAAAATAAATAAACTTTCTGAAACAAAATTTGAAAACGGGGGAAAGTTTTTTTCGTTTATCTCGGAAACATAAAATGTGGACTTACCTCGTTCTTGCAGCAATGTCTTCAATTGGAGAAGGCACCATTTTTATGAAATAAACAGCTTTACAGTATAATATGATAAATATTTAGATTAGGTCAGCCACCGCAAATGACCTTGACCTTGACATATTTTGTCAAGGTCTCCACCTCAGCTTTATAACGTTCCCTTCATAATCAATAGATCAAATTTTTTCCAAACTGTGTAAGGTGTGGAGTGGATCTCGCTTCACGTGGAAAGTCGAAACCCAAGTGGAACAGTACAACGGTGGAAGTACATGCGTGGAGACAGTATGTTCCTCCTCCGCCCCTCCGGGGGACCTCACTTCGTTACCCAGACAGCACATGATATTATACGAATATTCTATACTCATACTATGAATGTACGTACTGTACATAATATACTCAGTGCCGGTTTTAACAACACTAGCTGCGTTCGGCATTGCAAACGCGAGGCGTCGGAGTGCTCCTCCTCCCTATCTATCTCATTCTCCCCTCTCGCTCACTCGAATGCGAAAGAGCACTCCGACGCCTCGGATTTACAATGCCGAACGCAGCTATTGGCGCCCTGAGCAAGATTATCGTGGCGCCCATTCAAATTCAAGGGCTCGAAATTCTTGCGAAAGAAAAGACAGGGTAATAATATCGAACGACGAACCCCATTTTGTTTTTATATTTTAGGGAATCTCTCTCAAACTAGGTGAAACCAGGCAGCGGTGCCCCTACAGATTTGGCGCCCTGGGCGACCACTCAACCGGGCCCCGCCATAAGGCCGGTACTGAATATACTGAGAATATCTCTATAATATCTCCTGTAGTATATCAGTTTTCGTATATTTTTAGGATGTTTTCAGAATATCTTTTACAGTATGTTATTTCTCGTATATGTTATATCGTATATTATCAGAATATATTGTTACGTATATTATAAAACAATACTGTAAAACGTAATTAACATAATGAGATCATCCCTATAACATGTTTAGTAGTATATTATTTTTCGCATATTCTCGTATATTTTCAGAACATGTAGTACTAGTAACCACTCACTGCTGCGATGTGGCGACCGCGCGTTAGCCTTTCTCGTAAGTAAAAATCATTCTGTATTAGTATAAGAGGCGAGCCGATATGATCTGACAGCTGGTTGTCTGGATCATGGATAAACTTCAATGACCTGAATATACTTTTGATAATTACATAATTTGTAACATATTTTGAACATTATTTATTTTTAAGGTTAAAAAATTAAATATTTTTAATAGGATGCCTACTGATGCCCTACTACCCTCCTATTAGAAATTATAAGGCATAACAAGGGGCAAGTCAAGAGGTCTTGATAAGAAAAATCTAACCAGGCAATTGATTATGCGATCAAAATATTTTATTAAGGGTGCTACGCAAGACTTTGACTTCCGGTCATGGGAAGGTAGAGGGGAATACAGAAAAGTATTGTACTATTTTGCGCTTGGACGAATAGTTATCGAGATACGAAATTTTAAAAATCGCCGTATTAGCCCAACCTACTGGCGAATGTAAGCGCGCGGTGAGATGCGTCGGCCTAGCGGCCCCGCTCGGCGAGGAATAGAATGGCGGTGCGGGGCGAGGAGTAGGGAGGCGAGGCGCGCCGCTGCCCGTCCGCCGCTTACGCGACCGCTCGCACGCATCTCACTTCGATAACTATTCGTCCAAGCGCAAAATAGTACAATACTTTTCTGTTTGTCTTAGTCCCCTCTACCTTCCC